ATCTAGCTTTCTGCTAATATACCTGGGAAGGCACAGCAAGATGACCCAACTAGTTAGGCCCCTGCCACCCATGTGAGAAACTCAAATGGAGCTCTTGGTTCCTGGCTTCAGCCCAGCCAGGCCAGCCCTGGCTGTTGAAGGCATTTAGAGAGTAAACTAGCAGGTGGATGCTCTCTCTCTCTCTGCCTTTCAGACAGATGCATAGATAGATAGATAAATAAATAAATAAATCTTAAAAAAGCCTAGCAACACTGCTGAAATACTTAGCTTTAGGCCCGTGGTAAGGTAAGAAAGCTAATCTTGGGACTCCCACACTGAGGTGGGATCCTTGAAAGGTGAGCTAAAGTACTCTAGGTCAGCGGTGGGCCCTGTTTTATGCAGAAACAGAAGAAGCTAATCCCCTTTAGTGGGAAGTTTCTTCCAACTTAGTCCCATAGGATTCCTACAGCCTGAAATAAAACAATGAGCTCACAATAAAAAATCAACAAGCACATGGGAAAACATGCACCATGTGAGTCAGCAGAAACAATATATAAGAGATTTAAATCCCCAAACACTATAAATATTATTGAAATTAAGAATATAAGAGCTATATGTTAAAGATTTAAAGAAATAAAAAGTACAATAACAAGACTGCAAATAACATGTATAGGACACGGGGGAAAAGGAAAATGGTAAAAATGAAAACAGAGGGGCCGGCGCTGTGGTGCAGTGGGTTAACGCCCTGGCCTGAAATGCCGGCAACCCATATGGGCACTGGTTCGAGACCTGGCTGCTTCCAATCCAGCTCTTTGCTATGGCCTAGGAAAGCAGTAGAAGATGGCCCAAGTCCTTGGGCCCCTGAACGCAGTGGGAGACCCGGAAGAAGCTCCTGGCTCCAGGCTTCAGATTGGCCCAGCTCCAGCTGTTGCGGCCAATTGGGGAGTGAACCATCGGATGGAAGACCTCTCTCTGTCTCTCCTCTCTCTGTATAACTCTTTCAAATAAATAAATAAACCTTTAAAAACAAATGAAAACAGAATTTGTGAAATGACAAACTGAGTGAATGAGTTAAATAACAGATTAGAGTCAGCTGAACAGAGAATTAGTAACTTGGATTAAATATATCTAAAAAATTACAGATTTCTGAGAGACAAGAATATAAAAATTGACACAAGCTGAGTGATATGGAAAATATAAGGCTTAACACTTGTAACTGTAGAATCTCAGAAAGAGGTAATAGAGAGAATGGAGGCTTTTTTCTTTTTTTTTTTTTTTTTTTTTTTTTTTTTTTTTTTTTTTTTTCTTTTTTTTTTTTTGAGAAGTACAGAGAGTCAGACAGAACAAGCTTCCAACTAGTAGCTCACTGCCCCAAATGCCTACAATAACTGAACTGGGCTGTGCTGAAGCTAGAAGCAAGGAACTCAACCTAGGTCTGCCAGATGGATGGCAGAAACCCAACTACTTGAGCCATGATTTGTAGGAATTCAGAATCAGAATTTGAGACTCAAACCCAAGTATTCCAATATGGGACACGGATATCCTAATCTGTCTTAACCTCTACCAAATGTTCAAGAGAGGCATTTTTTAAAAAAGATTTATTTACTGATTTGAGAGAGTTAGAGGGAGGCAGGGAAGGAGGGAGGGAGGTGGAGAGGCAGAGGGAGAGGGAGAGGGAGAAGAGGGAGAGGCAGAGGCAGAGGCAGAGGCAGAGGGAGAGGCAGAGGCAGAGGCAGAGGCAGAGGGAGAGGGAGAGGGAGAGGGAGAGGGAGAGGGAGAGGGAGAGGGAGAGGGAGAGGAAGAGAGATCTGCTGGTTCACTCCCCAGATGGCTACAACAGCTGGGGCTAGGCTAGGCTGAAGCCAAGAGTTGAGACCTCTTCTAGCTCTCCTACATGGGTAACAGGAGCCCAAGCACTTGAGCCATTTTCCACTGCTTTTCCCAGGCCATAAGCAGGGAACTGCACCAGAAGTGGAGCAGCAGAGACAGAAATCAGTGCCTATATGAGATGCTGGCAGTGCAGGCAGTGGCTTTATCCACTACACCACAACACCTGCTCTGAGAGGCACTTCTACAGATAAATTGTGCTAGGCTGCTAGGTCCAGCCTAGCAGTGTGTCCTACTTCATAGTAGCTGGATTACAGCCCCAGCTCCAGCTCTTGATTCTAGCTGCCTGCCAATGTGTACCATAAGAGGCAGCAAGTAATGGCCCAAGGCTTTGGGTTCCTGGCTACCCTTGGAGGAGATGTGGACTGAGTTCCCAGCTCAGTTTCAGCCCAAGCCAGTCCCACCTGTTATAGGCATTTAGGGAGTTAACCAGTGGAGGGGAGCTCTGTCTCTCAATTAAAAGTAAATAAATAATGGCTCTAAGTTTTTAACAAATGAACATGGAATGAATCTGCAAGTCCAGGAAGTGTAACAGATCTAGGATAAACAAAAAGTACACGCTGTGGTAGCCAGGCTACAGGGCAGCCCTTAGATTCCGATTTCCTGGTAGTCATACCTTTTTGTAGTTGCCTTCCAAATCATACTAGGATTGGTCTCTGATCCACAGAGAATGACAAGAATTGTGCGTCACTTCTGAGATTAGGTTATACAAGACATTGTGGTTTCTGTCTTGGTTGTTCTCTCCTAGATCACATGCTCTAGGGAAAGCCACCTGCCATGTCCTAAGTAGCCCTAAGGAGAAGCCCATGCGATGAGGAACTGAGGCCTCCAGCCAGCAATCATGCCAGTGAGCCATTCTGAAGCAGATACTCACACCCTGGTCAAGCCTTCAGAAGACTGCAGCCCCAGTCAACAGCTCAGCTGTATCCTTTCGGGAGACCCTGAGCTGGAACCACCCAAATAAGCTGTTCCCAGATGGCTGACCCTCAAAAAAACTGTGTGAAATAATATTTTAATCAGTTAATTTTACACAGCAATGGATAACTAATATACATGCCAAGATCAAACAGTTTTGAATGGCTTACCAAGAGCCTTCTCCATGTGGTCCAGACTGTCTCTCCAGTCTCACTTCTTGCCACACTCTCTCCAGCACATCACATTTCAAACACACTAAACTTCTTTTAGTTTCTGGAATGTGCATGTGCTCTCCCACCCCCACATTCTGTACAGCTCACATGTTGTACCCCCTATCTGACACATTCTTCAACACCTCTCCCCTTCTCCCAACATATACACTTACTTGGCTAACTTCCTCTCATCATCACACTTGTTAAACTATCTGTTTTTCCATGAGACTTCAGGCTCTAAAAAGGCAGAGACAATACATATTTCCTTCATTATTATGCCAGCACAGTTCCCAGCACAAACAAGGACTCAGTAAATATTTGTCCCTTATAACTCACAGGATAGGGACAGACAGGAAGGCTAAAGGTTGAAAAATGTAAACGCTCTAAGGCAGTGGCCCAAATGGTATCTTTAGCATAGCAACTGACATAACTACCATAAAGGAATCAATAAACTCCTATATACCACACAACCTCAGGTTTAGGAAAGGCTTGGGGTGGGGTCAAAACTCAAAAATTAGATGGCTTCTGGCTTCTCCTAAGACAAGTCCTTATATGTGCCTTCATTATGACCCTTGAATTGAAATCTCTTAATATCAGATCCAATCATTCTTGTAAGCTCACTCACAATTATACCCAAAGGCCAATTAGAAATGATTTTTTTAAGATTTATCATCTATTTTACATTTGTAGGACAGTCCAACCTATTATGTTGATATTTAAAATCTGATCCCATATGGTAGTTGTGGTATGAGCCTAAATATGAATATATATATACACATAAATGCACACTTATATACATGTCATAAAATATTAATCATTAGTACCCTCTACTGGTGGAAATTCCTTATCTGCTCATATGAATGATATTATTGCCCTCTAGTGACCACAACCTATAAAGACAGAAAATCCAGCAGCAGATGGAACAATCTCCTTGGCTACAATGATAGGGTTTTATGTTCTTTAAGCATCTCATTTTCTCAGATTCTGGTTTATATTACAGGGGTACAACTCTAAAACTCTTGGGGGGCCCTCTGGGGATTCCACACAACTCTTCCCAGCTGTTAGGGCCAGTGTGAAGCTGCTCTCTCTCCTATTTCTCATGAACAAGAGGTCAAGGGAGGCAGACAAGGCAATGGCTGCATCAGTGAGGGCAAGACAAGCAGCTGTGAATGACTTCCCTGGACTCCCTGGGGAACCGGGAGCAGCTTGAAGAACACATGTTGGCTCTTCCTTGCATATTATCCACAGTTGAGTACTGTACTAAAATGGCAATTCAATGTAGTCTCTCACCTCTTAAATATCTCCAAAGCCTCAGTAAATGATGCAGTAGCAAACACTGCTATTATTTGGTTCTATAAACTAAGCTTTCTAAGTTATTTCTACTCAAGATATAAATCCAAATCTCTTTCCAGATGTAAGTGAAATGTCCCCTCCTCTATGAGGCCTTTTCTGAATTCCAAAGACATGACTGCTGTCCTTTGTGCTAGCATATACCTTGTATAAATCAGAATGGCACCCAGAACATGAATGTTTCCCTTTATAAGCTGCAAAACTGCACTGCCCCCATTTGTCCACACGTTAGGCTTACCTTCCAAACCCTAAGTTCCCTGAGGTCATGAAACATGTCTTAATCACTTCTGCACACTCAGCACCAAGCACACTCAAAATGTTATCCATATACTATTATTAGTCCACAGGATCACTACAGAAACTGAATGCAAGCATTGAGGAGCTTTTTTTGCAGTTTGACAGAGTAATTTTATAACTACTAAATCTAATAAAATATTGGGAGCTTATATTTTGTATACTTCAATTCCATTTCTCAGATAATTTTTATTCTATACTATGGAAGTATTGACTGCCAACAAATGGAGAATTTTTAAAACAATGGTCCTTTACCAGAGATAGTTTGAAAAGCACTGATATGGCACATAATGTAATATTTGAGGAAGTGAAGAAAAAAAAAACAAAATTCACTATTTTTCATAAAATTCAGAAGGAACATACCTATCCTTGTTGATTTTAACACTTCCCTGGAGGGTATTTTCTTCTTTAATTCTTGTAAGGCTTCAACTAGATTCTCTTTGGTTTGATTAGGAAGCTCCAACATAGTATTCCATCTTTTTATGTCTTCTACAACCACAACTCTCTGGGAAAAAGAAAAGTCATTTGGAAAATGGAACATTTTCATTAGAAAGACATCTGCCTTCACCTGAGCTAATGGGGCTCCTATTGACATATGAATTATTGATTTTGACCTGAACTGAAGCACAGTGTGTCTGATGGCCCCAAATGATGCATAATTGCTTAAAAGCAGGTCCTGCTTACTGCAAATCAGGAAGAGAGTTGCATCTATTAGGAAAAGTGCAAGTTTTAATCTTACCATGTCGGACACTACTGGGCACTTAGCAGTGAGAGGCAATAAATATGAGAAAAGAGTAACGAGGCTGAGGTGAATCAACGCTATAGCTCACTGAAGAGTGTCTTCATTCATAGGCAAGGACAGAGAGCAGAAAAATCAGATGTGTTTATTTCAACAATAAGAAGCACTCTTCAACGGCCCCCCACCTCCTGCAGGATGAAACTCAAACTTTCCCTAGTAGAAAGAATCTTTCAAAAGTTCAAATGTGTAGAAAGGTATAGAGTAATCCATTTATAATAAAAGAAAGTTTAAGATGCTGCCATCCTATACAATCAAATGTTGTAACGTTTGAGTTCCTTTACATCCTTCACCAAATTCACTCCCTTCCTTCTCTTCCTAGAACAAACTATCATCTCACAGTTGGTATACATCTTTCCAGTTAGTGTAAAATATTAACAATTAAAGAATCTGGTGAGGATGGGAAAGTTCTTTGTACTATGTTACAACTCTTCAGTAGTTTTGAAATTATCTCAACTAAGAGTGAAAGTAAACTAGGAGACAAAACACTGAAGGTGCTTTCATACTCATTAAAGAGATACTCACCTTGGATCACTACCTTGAGGAGGCGGGCTCAGTTAAGAGACTGGAAGAATTTATAAGACTCTTGTAAAGTTTCTTGATCTAGAACTAGTGTCTTCACATTATGAAAAATCCCACAGGAGGTACAACTAGGATTCATGTAATTTAAAAAATTCTTTTAATGACTGATTTTTTTTTTATCTGAAGGAGAGACAGAGAAAAGACAGAAATCTATCCACTGATTCATTCCTCAAAAGCCCAAAACAGCCAGGGCTAGATCAAGCCAAAGCCAGGATCCGAGAACGGCATCCAAGTCTCCCACTTGGGTGACAGGGATCCAGGTACTTGGGCCATCAACTGCTGCCTCCCAGGTACACATCAGCTGGAAGCAGAGGTGGGACTCAAACCCAGACACTCCGATATGGGATGCAGGCAACCTAAGTGGTGTCTTAGCGCCAGCCCTTGTGTAGCTTTCTATATGGTAGTCTGACAGAAATCAACCAAAAAGTGTTGTCTCCTTCCTTTAACTAGGGTCTACTTCCAGCCTAGAAACTGCTGGAAAGGGGGGGTGTGATTCCCCTATTTCTCATCTTTGCTTCTCTTCCTCCCCAGTCTGCTTATCTGCTTTGGTTTCTGGCCCTTCTAGGTTCAAGCCTTAGAAAAGGAGGATAGGAAATCAGGCTTTAGCCCTCTAGGGACTTGGCAGACGTAAACTTTTTTTCCTCTCTTAAAGGGTCGTGCCTTGGAAAGCTCCCTTCTCGGAATCATGTGGCAATGCCTCTTCCAGCCAGCTGCTTGCAAGTCTGCCCTGACGACCCCAGCTTTTGAGAACGCACTTCACACAGATTCTCTCTATAAGGATCCTTGTGAACCCAGCCACTTTAATTCAAGCCCAGGCCACCATTTTCTCCCACCATTGCCCACGTCTATGTCCTTAAAAATTCTGGGAGGGTAACAGCCTTCTCCATGTAGCCACTTCTCCCTTTGGAAACAATCACTCTTTTTTTTTTTTTTTTTTAAACCTTCCCAGGCACAGGTGTAATGTGTTCATCAACTCAAGGAACTGAAGTCAAGTTCTCCAAGTGAAAATATCAGCACTCTCACTTAATTCAAAGGAATTCTTTCTCCTATTCCTTCAATTTCAATCTTCTATAAAGCGATGGGATCAGGACTCTGAAATTGTACTGCTGTTACAAGTTCTGGCACAGCAAGTTAAGACTGCCTGAGGTACTGACATCCCATATAGGCCCTGGTTCAAGTCCCAGATGCTCCACTTCCAATCCAGCTCCCTGCTAATGGCCTGGGAAGGCAGGTGGCCTAGGTGCTTGGGCCCCTGCACCTATGTGGGAGACCTGGAAGAAGCTCCTGGCTCCTGGCTTCAGATTGGCCCAGCCCCAGCTGTTGCAGCCGTTTGGAGAGTGAACCAGTAGATGCAAGGTCTCTCGTTCTCTCCCTCTCTCTGTAAACTCTGCCTCCCAAATAAAGTTATAATATATAAATATATTACATAAATATAATAATTATTTATTTACTTGAGAGTTTAGAGAGAGGAAGAGACAGAGACAGGAGCTTCTTCTGGGTCTCCCACTTGGGTGCAGGGGCCCAAATAGTTGGGCCATCTTCTGCTGCTTTCCCAGGCACATTAACAGGGAGCTGGATCAGAAGTGGAACAGCCAGGACACGAACCAGTACCCATACGAGATGCCAGTATCAAGGTAGCAGCTTTACCCATTGTGCGATGATGCCAGCCCCTAAATAATTTTTTTTAAAGATTTATTTATTTGAAAGAGAGTTACAGAGAGAGGTAGAGACAGAGAGGTCTTCCATCCGCTGGTTCACTCCCCAAAGCGGCCACAACGGCTGGAGCTATGCCGATCCGAAGCTAGGAGCCAGGAGCCTCCTCCGAGTCTCCCAAGTGGGTGCAGGGGCCCAAGGACTTGCGCCATCTTCCACTGCTTTCCCAGGCCATAGCAGAGAGCTGGATTGGAAGTGGAGCAGCCAGGACTAGAACCAGCGCCCATATGGGATGCCGGCGCTTCAGTCCAGGGTGTTAACCTACTGTGCCACAGCGCCGGCCCCAAAAATTTTTAAGACAAAAAATGTCATTTAGGAATACTGTTTAATATCTATTGCTTTGTTTTTGCCTTTAGGGCACAGTCAAAATTCAAAGTCCTTTTTTATTATTCATTATAATATATAATAGTATTATTAGTGTTAAATGGTATGAAAAAGAAAAGAAGCCAAGGGGATGTTTTTAATAGGAAGGTGTAAATATCATGCTTTTGACATTAAATTTTTTTAAGATTTATTTATTAATTTGAAAGAGTTACAGAGAGAGAGAAGGACAGGCAGAGAGAGAGAGAGAGAGAGAAAGAAAGAGAAAGTCTTCCATCTGTTGGTTCACTCCCCAATTGGCCACACCAGATGGAGCTACGCTGATCCAAAGCCAGGAGCCAGGACCTTCCTCCGGGTCTCCCATGTGGGTGCAGGGGCCCAAAGACTTGGGCCATCTCCTACTGCTTTCCCAGGCCATAGCAGAGAGCTGGATTGGAAGTGGAGCAGCCAGGACTTGAACCGGCACCCATATGGGATGCCGGCACTGCAGGTGTCAGCTTTATCCACTATGCCACAGTGCTGGCCCCAATGATGTATTTTTTTTAATATTTATTTATTGAAAATCAGGTTTAGAGAGAGAAAGAGACAGAGAGATACTGATTCATTCCTCAGATGGCCACAATGATCCTCAGATGGCCAAAGCCAGGAACCAGGTGCTTCATCCAAGTCTCCATGTGGATAGCAGGGGCCCAAGCACTTGGTCCATCTTCTACTGCTTTTTGCAGACCATTAGCAGGAAGCTGGATCTGAAGCAGAGCAGCCGGAACACAAACTGGCACCCATATAGGTTGCTGGTGTCGCAGGCAGCAGCTTTACCCACTAGGCCACAATGTGCCCCCTCCCCTATTCCTGTGATCCATTTTAATAGTATTGGACATTATTCCATTATTTTTATATACAAAGGTCTCAGAATTTCAACATCTATTTCCCCATGGGTCTTTGGGGGTTTCCTTCTGCCATTATTTTTCCTGTTGTAAACATGGCTTCAATGAGGTTCTACCAATGACAGTTTCCTTTGTACATTGTCTTCCATCCTTTTAAACTTTCTGGGTATTTTGCTTTAGCATATATTGCTTTATTTTGCTTCTGACTATATCTGAGAATCTTAGGCATATTAAGTCCATTTGTATATATATGGTTACTAATTTTAAAATCCCTATTATATGTTTTCTTTAATATTTCTGTATCTTCACCTCTCTGTGATACCTTCTAAGCAATTTTTTTGGATCTAGCTTTCAATTCACTAGTTCTCTAGTTCTCTCTCTCTCTTTTTTTTTTTTTTTTTTTTTGACAGGCAGAGTGGACAGTGAGAGAGAGAGACAGAGAAAGGTCTTCCTTTTGCCGTTGGTTCACCCTCCAATGGCCGCCGCGGCCGGCATGCTGCGGCCGGCGCACCACACTAATCCTATGGCAGGAGCCAGGTGCTTCTTCCTGGTCTCCCATGGGGTGCAGGGCCCAAGGACTTGGGCCATCCTCCACTGCACTCCCGGGCCACAGCAGAGAGCTAGCCTGGAAGAGGGGCAACTGGGACAGAATCCGGCGCCCCGTCCAGGACTAGAACCCGGTATGCTGGCGCCTCTAGGCGGAGGATTAGCCTAGTGAGCCATGGCGCCGGCCTTCTCTCTCTTTTTAAGGTTTATTTGAAAGCCAAGGTGACAGAGAGAGGAGGAGACAGAGATCTTCCATTTACTGGTTCACTCTCTAAATGGTTGCAATGGCTAGGACTTGGCCAGGTCAAAGCCAAGAACCTGGGACTCCAACTGGGTCTCTCGTGTGGGTGGCAGGAGCCCAAGTAGTTGGGCCATGTTCCACCGACTTCCCAAGTGCACTAACTGGCATTCATATGGTATGCTGGTGTTGCAGGTGGCGACTTAACTTACTCAGCCATGGTGCCAGCCCTCCCCCCGCCAAGTTTTCTCCTCAGCTATGGCTTGTGTACCTTTAACCTATTTAATGCATTTCTGCTTCAACAGAAATGATTTTATTTTTTTCCTCCAAATCTGTTTTCTTTTCATAGTGTGCTGTTCTTACTTTATGATTTCTATTCCTCTCTTTATCTCAGGGAACATTTTAAATGTATTTGGCTTAAAATT